ATAACTTGGTCAACGACCCCACTTTGGTCAAAAAGCCCCCAAAAGACTTCTCTTTATTATTGGAGTATGTTTGTATTTTATAAGTTGTTATTATTTTCTTATTTTATTGATGTAGGACTTGTTTGTATCCTAACAATTCTCTCCTCAAATAAAGGACCTAACCTGTTTTTATATATTACATTATATGTTATGAGTTATAAGAGTTGTCACTGAATCCAATCTATTCTCGTACCAATGATAGGATTATTTTATAATATTTATTTGAGGGATATTTTATAAAAGCTATTTTTATAAAGTTATTTCAAAAGCATACTTCACGATGATAAGATCTAATTTTATTCATAAAATCTCTATTTATAAAAAAAAAAATTGTTATATAAAATCAAATATTGATATTATCTTATTTTAAAAATAAGGAAATAAATTCTAAAATAATTAAAATAAATTAAATCTAAATATTTAAAATATAAATAAAATATCTTCATAAAAAATAAATTTATTTTCTTAAAAATATTTAGACATATTTTCAACATAACTGGAGTAGTTAAGTGTTGAAAATTGTAAGCAGTTTGGCTTTAGCTTGTTTCAATGTAGAAATTTGCTCCTTTCTTAGTTTCGCTTTAACTACATTAGACATCGAAATTTATCTTACTATATCAGTAGAGCTGTCAAAACGGGCCAACCCGGCCCATGTGGGCCGGCCCACCTTGACCCACTTTAAAAACGAGCCAACCCAACCCGGCCCACTTGTAATTTTTTCAAAAAAAATTTGGCCCGGCCCGGCCCACCACGGATTGGTGGGTTATACGGGCCAGCCCACCAGCCCACCAAAAATTAAAAAAAAATTATTAACAAAATTCAAAATTTTAAATTAATTATAAATTAACATAATAGTCATAAAATTAACATCATTAATAGTTATAAGTCATAATTCATCATACAAAATTAAATACAAATCATGATAAAAGTTTAAAATAAAAATTTTCAATATATCATCATACAAAATAAACTACAAATCATATTCAAATTTTTATTGAAAAAAAAAATGGTGGGTTGGTGGGCCACCCGGCCCACCACGGGTTTAGCCCGGGTGGGCCGGGTCAAAGTGGGCCGGGTTGAAATATACCCACCTACTATAAAACTTCAATTTTTTTTGGCCCGGCCCGGCCCGTTTTCAAGGTGGGCCGGGTTGGCCCACGGGTCCCTATATCAGATCAGTTATTTTGGCCAATGCTAAAAGTATACGTTGTAGAATAAGAAGGTAATAGATATGAAATCATCACTTCACTCAACAGGATAGGGTGTTTGGTCTAGTGGTATGATTCTCGCTTCGGGTGCGAGAGGTCGCGAGTTCGATTCTCGCAACACCCCTATATGGCTTTTATATTATAATACTGATCAATAATTCATCTTCGCTATTACTATTACTTTTAGTATCAATAATTTCCAAACGTTAATAAAATATTAATATTACTGACTTTGGATTTTTGGTCTTCTAATTTAATTTTATCAAAAAAATATTTAAATAAATCAATATTGATTGACATAAGTGATAATAACTTGTGTCTCTTAATCAAGATGTCTAAAATTATAATTTTAATTTTGAATATGAAATAAATTATATTTTAAAAAAATTCTATCTTATTATGCATGTTCACAATTTTTTAATAGAGATTTATTACTATTTTTTATAATTATATGAAGTAGTCTTCCAAAATTATGAAGAACGATAATCGTACACATATTAATCTTTAGTGATAAGAGAGGTTAGAAGATAGATGTTAGAATTATGACAAATGTTCAAATAATAAATTAATAAGAAAAAGTTTGTAATTTAATAATTAAAAAAATGCTTAATCCTTTGGAAAGATAAACCGAAAACATAATAAAATTTACACAACAAAATTAATGATAAATATTTTATTTAGTCGATGGATAATTTGGCCGTTCTTCCATTAGAGAATTGAGTATAGCTCTTAATAATTATATAATTGATTAATTATTCTACAAAGGTAATATTTTTCTTGCAAATCCCTTTTTACTATGTGATTAATTAATCTCTCTAATTTCCCTTTTCTAAAGTCTACTAAGCGAAAAACTCTTTATTCCTAATTATGATTCATAATCTCTTGGGCAAACAAAATTAGTAATAGACATTTGATGTAGAAAATTGACCCAGATAAACACAATATATCTATATCCTATATTATATTAAAGAATTGTATGATTATTAAATTTAAACATTTGAAATCTCAATTTTTCTATTGCAAGACCTGGATTACTGATCAAGTTATTAATGAGTATTCGAAACATATTAAGCATGACATCATATAACTAAATTCACGTAACAAGAAAATGATTCAAACGAAAAATTAGTTACAATAGTTACAACAAAGGACTTACAAACTCATGGAGTCTTTAAGCACAAAACAAAAAGAAGAAATAGATAAAGAAAAAATCATGAATCTTTAAGAATGAAAAAATGTTCAAACATATCTCTAAAACATGTAAATATATATATGTGTATATATATATTGCCAAAAACACATTAGGCCTACTAAATAATTAAGAATCGTATGTGACACTTGGCATCCTGGTTGATGCTTCTTTTACTTTTCAACAACTGAACAATTCAATTGTTTGTTAAGAGATACCATGCAAATTTTAGGTAACCCATTTGCCTAGATGTTTATTATTAGGTTTTTATCAATAAAATAAGAACTTAATCGAATAATTTTAGCCATCATAATTATATGATTTCAGTTCTTTAAATTTTAAGTAAACAATTCTAATTTATTAAGTATCACAATTGTTTGATTTTAAGTATTGCAATTATATAATTTTTAACCTATTTAAGTTACATATATTATAATTTTTATTCATGTATTAAATGATATGTAACTTAAATAGTTAAAAATTTGTATAATTGTAATATATAAGAAATTAAAATCATATAATTATAGTACTTGAGGGACTAAAATTACTCAATTAAAATTTGAGAGATTAAATTTACATAATTGTTATACTTGAGAGACAAAAAATGTATACTCTTATTATTAAGTCATTTTTCCATTATTTTTTTCTTATAATGTAAATATCATGTTAAATAGTTTTATAAACCTACACGTATCATAAATTTAACAAGGATAAAAAGAAAGTTTGAGAGGTAAAAAGAAAAGTAAAAAGACAAAATAGAAAAGGAGTTATAAGAAATATATATATATATATATATATATATATATATATATATATAATTATACATA